CCCCCCCCGCTTTTTTTTAAATCAGTAGTGGGGCCTGAACTCTGGGCCTGGGCACTGTCCCTCAGCTCTTCAGCTCAAGGCTAGTGCTCTACCACTAGAGCCACAGCGCCACTTCTGGGTTTTTCTGCTTATGAGGTACTGAGGAATCGAACCCAGGGCCTCATGCATGGGAGGCAAGCACTCTACCACTGAGCCACCTTCCCAGACCTTTTTTTTTTTTTTGTCAGTCATGGGGCTTGAACTCAGGGCCTGAGTGCTGTCCCGAGTTTTTTTGCTCAAGGCTCGCATGCTATCACTTTGAGCCACAGCGCCACTTCTGGTGTTTGAGTGGTTCATTGGAGATAAGAGTCTCACAAGCTTTCTTGCCTGGCCTGGGTTTGAATGGTGATCCTCAGATCTCAGCCTCCTGAGTAGCTAGGATAACAGGCCTGAGCCACAGGTGCTTGGCTCTACTGTGTTTTGAACTCAGGGCCTGGCACTTGCTAGGCAGGTACTCTACTGCTAAGCCACACCTCCAGCCCAATTTTCTTTCCTTTTCTAAATGATGTTTTCCAGTGCTGGGATGGTCTCCAGGCCTGTGCACGTTCTTGGCAAGTGCTCTGCCATTGTGTTTCCCACCAGCAGTGCATACCACTTCCAATGTCTCTACATTTTGTTATCATTTGACTTTTTTTTTCTGTAATCATAACATTCCTGATGGTGTGTGTTGGCTCCTTGGTAGGTTTTGTTTTTTGTTTTTTTTTTTCCTATGCCAGTCCCAGGGCTTGAACCCAGGACCTGAGTATGTCCCTGAGCTTCTCTGCTCTAAAGCTAGCACTTCACTATTTAAGCCACAGCTCTACTTCTAGCTTTTTGGTGGTTAACTGGAGGTAGGGGGCTCACAGATTTCCCTGTCTGGGCTGGCTTTGAACCGTGATCCTCAGATCTCGGCCTCCTGAGTAGCTAGGGTGAAACCACCGTGTGGCTTGTTCAGGTCTCAATGCGCATTTTCCAACTTTCATGTCCACCACAGCATTGCACACAGCAGCCAGTGTGGAAACCTACATGCCCACACAGGAGTCAAAGGACAAAGAAAATGTAGTCTGTCCACACAACAGAATATTATTTAGCCTTCATAAAGGAAATCCTGCCATGTTCTACAAGAGAGATGAATCTTGAGGTTGTTACAGTAAGTGAACACAGCTACTCATGAACACATGCTTATGAGCTCACTAATATGTGGAATCTAAAATAGTCATAAAGGCAGAGTGGGCCTGGGGCATAGGACATGGAAATTTGCTATTCCAAAGGTAAGACGTTTCTGTCACAAGTTGGATGCGGGTGGTTTGGGCCTGTCATCCTAGCTACATGAGAGGCTGAGATCAGGAAGACTGGAGTTCCAGGCCAGCCTGGTCAGCAGGGTATGCAACACCCCATCTCAGTAGAAGAAGCCGAGCAGGGTGGTGTGCACCTGTCATCCTAGCCTAAAACATGTCACAACCCAGGCAGGACTCCAGACCCTCTCTCAGAAATAGCCAGTTTGGCCAGGTGCCGGCAGCTCACACCTGTAATCCTAGCTACAAAGGAGGCTGAGATCTGAGAATCATGGTTCAAAGCCAGCCCAGGCAGAAAAGTCTGTGAGATTCGTATCTCCAATTAACCACCAGAAAACTGGAAGTGGTGCTGTGGCTCAAATGCTAGAACGTTGGCCTTGAGCTGAAGAGCTCAGGGACAATGCCCAGGCCCAGAGTTCAAGCCCCACAACCGACAAAAAAAAAAGAAAAAAGAAGAAAGAACTAGCCAGTTAGTTCACAAGAGGACCGGAGGCAGGGCGTAGTGGTACAGCACTTGCCCAGCAAGCATGAGATTGAGTTATTGAGTTCAATTCCAGTACCACCAAGAAAACAAAGCTTAGATATGCAAGGCTGTTACAGAAATCTGTATAACACTGTGTTTTGGTTAATGATAAAGTTAAGAGGGCTGGACATTGGTGGCTCACACCAGTAATCCTAGCTACTCAGGAGGCTGAGATCTGAGGACTGAGGTTTAAAGCCAGCCCAAGCAGGAATGTCTGTAAGACTCTTATCTCCAATAAATTATTCAGATCAAGTGGGAAGTGGTGCCACAGTTCAAGTGGCAGAATGCTAGCCTTGAGCAAAGGTAGTCTGAAAACAGCATAGGTCCTGAGATCAAGCCCAGGACTGGCACAAAAAAAAGAAAAAAGAAAAAAAAGTTATCAAGAGGGCAACTTTATAGGACATTTGCTTGAAGAAGGCAAACTGTAGGATAACTCACAGCATGATGCCATGTGTATGGAAAGAACCAAAAAAGGAAGGAGGGAGGGAGGGAGGGAGGGAGGAGGAATCCCTGTAGAGATGATTCTAAATATTCTCTTCCCCAGGGCAGTATTTAATATGTGTGAGTCTTTATTTGGAAGACTAAAGTTGATGGCAAAGACACAGACACAGACACACACACACACACACACACACACCACCCATCATGAGTTCATTCCTGCTGAATTTGGTTGCATATGTGCCATTACTAGAACTTGAATACTTGAATTCAGGGCCTCTTCCTCTCACTTGGCTTTTACACCAAGGCTGGTGCTCTACTACCTGAATGACACCTCCACTTCCCGATTTTTGTCGGTTAACTGGAGGTCAGAGTGTCACACACTTTCCTGCCTAGGGTGGCTTCAAACCACTCAGAGCTCAGCTTCCTGAGTAGCTGGGATTACAGGCCTGAGCCACCAGGATAGCAGCATCTGGCCACAGTAACTGGCCACTCCTGCAGGGATGGTTCTTTTAATGAGGAACCAGATCATCTTTGAGTTTTGTCTGTTAGGCCTTTGACAAACAACTTCTGCACATGGGGATAGCTTGGGACTACAGGCTGGTGGCCCTAAGTGGTACCCAGGTTTTTCGAGATCCCCATCAGAGCAGTACCCACTGGCAGCGATGTTGTGGATGGTGATGTTGGTATCGAAGATGGAAGGAAACTGGATCTTCCCTTCTTGCTGTAACTGGACAGTGTTCACAAGCTGACCTAGGGAGACAGTGGACAGTGACCTCTGAGGCCTGACCCTAATGAAGACCCAGGCATGTGGCTCACAACCCGTGATTTTTATATTTCCTTAGGAATTTTGCGGGGTTTGCCCTCAAACTCTGTCTCCCCTGCCTCTGCAGTAGCTCAGATTACCAGCATGAACCATCACACGTGTGCAAAGTGATTTCTTTTTATTTCTTTCTTTTTTTTTGTCAGTCATGGGGCTTGAACTCTGGGCTTGGGCACTGTCCCTCAGCTCTTCATCTCAGGGCGAGCGCTCTACCACTTGAGCCACAGCGCCACTTCTGGTTTTCTGGTGGTTTATTGGAGATAAGAGCCTCACAGACTTTCCTGCCCAGGCTGGCTTTTAACTCTGATCTTCAGATCTCAGCCTCCTGTGTAGCTAGGATTACAGGCGTGAGTCATGGGCACCTGGCTTGAACTCAGGGCCTGGGCACTGTCCCTGAGCTTCATTTTGCTCAAGGCTAGTACTCTACCACTTGAGCCACAGCGCCACATCCTGTGTGTGTGTGGTACTGAGGAGTGGAATCCAGGGCTTCATGCATGCTAGTCAAGCACTCTTACCACGGAGCCACCTTCCCAGCCCAGCCTTCTAGATCTTTCTGTCTGGAGTAATGCTCATCTCCAGGTGGATGCTCAACGTTTAGCGGGTACCCTGACACATCTCATTCAAGCAAGATAGTATGAGGTTCCCTGGACCAAGAGTAGGGGCCTCTGCCAGCGGCTAGTGTGTGTGTGTATGTGTGTGTGTGTGTGTGTGTGTATCTGGACCTGTCTGTCCCCCAGCCCTACTAGGAAGGAAGCAGAAGGGGAGGGGAGGGCAGTTTACCGGGGCAGCACCTGGGCCCCACCCCCTGCCTGGTCAAGTCGCAGCCCAGTCCCTCCTATGTTTCCTCACCTGAGTTGGGAGACACAAACAGGTTGTTCTGGCTCCAGAGGATGATAAAGCCCTTCTGGCCCGGGGTGAGGACGACATTCATGGTATCTTTGTATGGGAAGGCCATGCCCAGGCTGAGGTTGAGTGGGTAGTCCGTGTATTGGAACATGGCCTGGGAGAAGGAGACAGCTGTGACCCAGGCGGCGGCGGCGGTGTTCAGCTTCCTCCCTGGGCCTTCATCCTCGGCTTCTCAAAGTGAAGCCCTTCCAAGGCCAGCAGCTGTCCCCTGGGGCCACTCTGCCCTGGAGGGAAGGGGAGCTAATCTGGGGACCTGTGGCCACAAGGAGTGGGGGAGCCCCCAGGTATGGAGTGGAAGCCAGGACACCCCACCCCAGGGAACAACCTGGCCTGAAATGTGGGAAACCCATCAGTGGCCAGCTCAGGTCGCCTCCACCGTGGGTGTAGTTAAAGATTTCCAGAGGTTCATGTGCTGAGGTCTGAGCCCCAAAGGCAGCAGTATTACAAGAGGGTGGTGCTTTAAGGATTAGGTTACCCACCAAAGGGTAACCAGAGCGTGGGTTAGGTCTCCCAGGATTAGACTAGTGCCTTCTACAGCAGCTTGTAGTGCATGCCTGTAGTCCTAGCTATCTGGGAGGCAGAGACACAAGTATCCCCAGTTTGGGGGTCACCCGAGGCAAATATAGCACTACCAAGAGCCTGTTGCAAAATAATGAAAATAGGCCAGGCTCCAGAGGGTCATGCTACTCAGGAGGGATGAGGTCTAGAAGATCGTGGTTCAAGATCCACCTGGGGGGGGGGGTCTGTGAGACTCTTATCTCCAAAATAACCAGCAAAAAGCCAGGCTGGAGGAATGGCTCAAGTGGCCAAGTGCCAGTCTACCGTGCCGGAGGAGGAGTCGAGGTGGCAAGGGAACTCGTGCAATCTTTGGCACCAAAAAAGAAGAAAAAAGGACAAGTTGTTATAAAGCAGCCCCGCTCTGTTATCTTCCCCTTCTAAGGTGTCTGGTTTGAGGTGGTCCATATTTTGTTATATTTTTTTCCCCCTTCACTACTGAGGATGGGACCCAGTGCCCTGCACTGCCCAGGCAAGCCCTTTACCGCTGGAGTTACATGCCCAGTCCTCTTAGCTTCCATTCTGTCTTTCAGAATAAAATCTGGCTACCTTTGCCTGGGCTGGCCTTCAGCTGGTGCTCCTCCCGCCTCAGCCTCCTGCATGCTGGCACTGTGGGTATATGCCACCCTGCCCATCTCACAACCCCTATTGTTTCCCTCTACTTCTTCAGCCTCTGGTTCTAGTATCAAGTACAAATTCCCCTATGTGCTTTCCAAAGCCCGCTGTCCTCCAGATATCCTGGAGGGTCCCAGGACAGCCTGTGTCCTTCTGACAACACCTGCAAGGGTGGAACTACCAACACTACTCTGAGGCTGGGTGTGGTGGCACACACCTATAATACCAGCTACTTGGGATGTGGCGATTAGGAGGCTCAAAGTTGGAGGCCAGCCTGGGCAGAAAGAGGGCAAGCACCTATCTCAACCGGTCAAAGCTGAATGCGGGGGCTGGGAAGTTGGCTCAGTGGTAGAGTGCTTGCCTTGCATGCATGAGGCCCTGGGTTCGATTCCTCAGCACCACATAAGCAAAAAGAAAAAAAGCCGGAAGTGGCGCTATGGCTCAAGTGGTAGAACACTAGCCTTGAGCTGAAGAGCTGAGGGACAGCACCCAGGCCCAGAGTTCAGGCCCCACGACTGGACCAAAAAAAAAAAAAAAAAAAGCTGAATGCAGTGGCTCACACCTGCCAACCCAGCTAGGCAGATAATGTAAATAGAAGGATGGCCCCCCCAGGCCAGCTCAGGGATAAACTTGAGGCTTTTTAAAAAATGATGGGCTGGGAATGTGGCTTAGTGGTAGAGTGCTTGCCTAGCATGCATGAAGCCTGGGTTCGACTCCTCAGTACCACACACAGAGAAAAAGCTGGAAGTGGTGCTGTGTTCAAATGGCAGAACGCTAGCCCTGAGGAAAAAGAGCTCAGGGACAGCACCTAGGCCCTGAGTTCAATCCCCAGGACTGGTCAGAAAAGAAAAGAAAAATAATGAATGCAGAAAGGGCTGAAGGCATGGCGGCAGTTGGTAGAGTATCTGCCTAGCGAGCTCAGGGCCCAAGTTCAAACCCCAGGACCTCCAAAAACTAAACCAAATAAAAACTGACCACCCTCTTCCCAGGACAGGAAGGAGGCAGAAGCCCTACTGAAGAGGCTGAGTGGAGGGGTCCCCTGGCCCCAGCTCCTCCCATGGTGCCCTCATCCCCCACACAGCCTGTCAGGAGCACAACTGCTGTCACTTGGAGGGGCCAGGCAAGGAGCCAGCCTGATAATGCTATGCCCTCTCTGTCTCTGTCTGTCTGTCTCTCTCGTGGCTCACTAGCTTATTATTCTTTCACATGTTTGTCAGTATCGTGGGCTATATACCGTGGTTTCATAAATGCAGACATCATGGCAGGAGCAAACCTGCCCCCTGGGCCACTCCCTTCTTCCCCCCTCCCCTCCCCACTTCTGCCCCCTGTGCCCTCCTCCTGCAGCATGTGGAGGGCCATCTCACTATGGAGAAATCTAATAAAGGATCTTCAGTTGGACAAGCCCAGAGCAGGGTGGAATGGAGGGCTGGGCTGGCACAGTCCTGGCTAGGAATCAGAACGCACAAAGCCATCCTCAGCCACGAGTGGTGGTGTACACTGGGAGGCTGAGGCAGGAGCATCTCAAGGTCAAGGTCAGGCTGGACTGCATCACTGAGTTCCAGGCCAGCTTTGGCTATAGTGAGACCCGACACTGTCTAGAAGCAAACAATCAAGGGAACAAAACAACAACAACAACAAAAAACTAGTTAAGAGCTGGGTGCTGGTGGCTCAGGCCTGTAATTCTAGCTACTCAGGAGGCTGAGATCTCAGGATCACGGTTCAAAGCCAGCCCGAGCAAGAAACTCTGTGAGACTCTTATCTCCAAAAATCACTCAGAAAACCGGAAGTAGTGCTGTGGCTCAAGTGGTAGAGAGCTAACCTTGAGCTGAAGAGCTGAGGGACAGTGCCCAGGCCCAGAGCCAAGCCCCACGACTGACAAAAACAAAACAAAACAAAAACCCTATCAAGCCAGACACTATAGCTTTGGCTATAGTGAGACCCGACACTGTGTAGAAGCAAACAAGCAAGGGAACAAAACAACAACAACAAAAAAAAACTAGTAAAGAGCCGGGTGCCGGTGGCTCAGGCCTGTAATCCTAGCTACTCAGGAGGCTGAGATCTGAGGACAGCAGTTCAAAGCCAGCCTGGACAGGAAAGTCGGTGAGACTCTAATCTCCAATGAACCACCAGAAAACCAGAAGTGGCGCCATGGCTCCTAGTGGTAGAGTGCTCGCCTTGAGCAAAAAAGAGCTCAGGGACAGTGCCCAGGCCCAGAGTTCAAGCCCCACGACTAACCAAAAACAAAGCAAAACAAAACAAAAAACTATCAAAACAAACAAAAATCCTAAAAGGGCAGGGAGAGGGGTGCGGCGGGAAGCATGAAGTTGCTGCCCACTCTACCACAGGAGATCAGCAGGAGTGCCTGGTGAAGACAAATATGTTGGATAAAGAGAGAGGGGTGTGGTGGTGCACTGTTGTTATCCTAGCTAACCAGGAGACAGAGGTGTGAGGATCTCGTCCTGCAGCTATCCTGGGCAAAATCAGAGGACCCTATCTGAAAAATAAACTGAAGCGCACAAGAGGCTGGGAATGTGGCTTGCCTAGCAAGCAGGAGTCCATGAGTTCAATCTCCATCGCCCCAAACAGAGGGACAGGAATGAGTGCTTCCAGGCTAGGAAAGCAAACCTGGAAAAGTGCCCCCCACCCTCCCCGGAGGCCTGGGACACTTGGAGGCACTGGCTGGTCAGCCAGGACCTCCTCCTGGGAAGATGGACCTTCTTGAGACAGGACCAGAAATACAATCTAGGCTTTTTTTTTGGTTGGTTGTGGGGCTTGAACTCAGGGTCTGGGCCCTGCCCCTGAGTTCTTTTGCTCAAGGTTAGCGCTCTACCACTTTGAGCCACAGCACCACTTCCAGTTTTGGGGTGGCTCATTGGAGGTAAGAGTCTCATGGGGATTGTTCTACCAAGGCTGGCTTCGAACCGCAATCCTCAGATCTCAGCCTCCTGAGTAGCTAGGATTACAGGGGTGAGCCACCAGCACCTGGTAATCTAGGAAATTTATGATGTCTACAGGGGACAAAGCAGGGTTTAGCTAGGGGAACAAGCAAAGGGGCGGTGGATACTTGTGGGGCAGGCTCCTTGAACCTTCACTTCATTTCACTTGAGCCCACCACTCAGGAACTTCTACTCAAGCTACAAGACCCTTCACAGAATTTCATGGTCTCTTCTGCACCCGCCAAATCATGATGCTGGCTCCCCTCACCCACGGGAACCCTAGTGGCTTTGTCTGCAGCAATCACAGGGCACCATCTTGTAACCACTGTGACACTACCTCGTCTCCCCACTCAGAATGGGACTGTCTCCAGTGGCTCTCTGCCAAACTTCAGTCATACCATAAATCCCTTTTGTAATTTCTGCAAGACTTGGCTACTGATGACTTAGACTCTCTGTGAGTTGCTTCCCATTGGCTTTATCTCTTCAACTTAAACCAAGTGGTGCTGTAAATTACAGGTTTTGTGTGCCTCATTTTTAAATAGCCATTCAAAGAGGTACTTGACATGAGCATTGAAAATAATCTATGTCCTGTGCTCATCACAGTGTCTAGCAAACAGAAGACACCATATAAATGTGGCTCTGTGTGTGTGTGTGTGTGTGTGTGTGTGTGTGTGTGTGTGTGTAATGGACAGAGGAGAGCTGGGAAGGTGGCTCAGTGGTAGAGCGCTTGCCTTGCATGCATAGGCCCTGGGTTCGACTCCTCAGCACCACATAAGCAAAAAGAAAAAAGCCGGAAGTGGTGCTGTGACTCAAATGATAGAGTGCTAGCCTTGAGCTGAAGAGCTGAGGGACAGTGCCCAGGCCCAGAGTTCAAGCTGCAAAAGCGAAAAAAAAAAAAAAATGGACAGAGAATTCGAGGAAAGGGAAGGATTCAGAGTGGATAGGTGTGCACATGGATGGATGGGTGGGTAGATCAAAGGATAGATGAGTGGAAGGATGGATGATGGGTGCTGGACTGATGTATGGATGAATGAGTGGGTGGATGGATGGATGGATGGATAGATGGGTGAATGGATAAGTGGATAGATAGATGGGTGGGGGGATAAATAAATGGTGAAATGGATGTCTGAATAGTTAGGTGGATGGATACATAGAAAGGTGAATAAAAAGCAAATTTCAAGTATGAGAAACTACATATGTAAAGTAAGAGTTTAACAAAACTCTAGCAGTGGCCAAAGGCACTTCAGAAGTCTGCCCCCTGGGTAATCGACTTACCATTCCTTTGTCAACAATAAGAATGCCGATCTGTGACAAGGGGTGAAAGTGAAAGATTCCCCCTAACATCCCAGGGTTTGCAGCCTAGGAAGCAAGAAAGAAAATTGTGCATGTGCATCAAGACTATAAGGCTATGTGTTGTGATGACATTATAATTATAATATGTTTAAGTGCTGGTGCAGTTGATCTGACAAGCTAAAATGAAGGAGTATTTCTTTCGTTTCCTGTGTAGGGAAACACAGCCTCTGGCACCAATGCTTGAATGGAGACAGGTCAGCTCTGTGGTGTCTGAACACTAGTCATTCATTGCATTTGGGACCTGATCCTGTGTCCATGTCAGACTGGTCCTGTGGCGTGAACTTAATCCCAGACAATGGGGATTTAGGGGAGGGGTTGAGCAGCAGGCTCCCCCTCCCCCCACGACTGAGATGATCCCACTTGGCTCAGATTGTTGTCATGGAGACCTAAGACCTGAAATGTCATCTGCGGGGGAAGACCCATTGGCACGGCCTCTGGGGGGTCAGCAGTATATGACTCTGGCCAGAGCCATCATGGCGGCAGGGCGGGTGGAGGCTGCTCCACCATCACACCAGAGGGCCCCAGAGCCTTCCCTCCTTTTCCCTTGGGCTCTGGGAGGACCACGGAGGCAGCTTCCCAGCCTGCGGGGCTGTGAGTGGTGCCTCCCACACAGGATCGGGCACTCTGTCCCCACAGACACGTGGCCTAAGACAGTCACGTTCTGAAGTCACCGACACTTGCTCACCCAGCTGCAGTTCTTTCGTGTGCAGGGTGGGGTGGGTCCTCCCCGTGACGGCGGCAGAGGGGACCTGATGGGCATGGCTCACCCAGGGCCTGCACCTGGGCATTGCCCTCCAACCTGTAAGCCTGCAGGAGCTTTAAATAAGGAGGAACCCTGCTGGGCCTTTGGCAGTTGTGTGATCGTGCCTCTGTGCAGATGGATGGATGGATGGAAACCCAGGGTTATTGTGCTGTCCAGGCTGGTCTCAAACTCCCAGACACAAGGGGGGGCCTCCTGCATCACCCACAGAGCAGGACAGAAAGGACAGAAACTCGTGCTTCTGCTTTCTAACCCAATGGCACATACCTGGTTTTCTTTCTTTTTTTTTTTTTTAAAAAAAAAACTTTTCTTTTTCCTTTTGCTGGTCCTAGGGCTTGAACTCAGGGCCTGAGCTCTGTCCCTGAGCTTCTTTTGCTCAAGGCTAGCACTCTACCACTTGAGCCACAGCGCCATTTCCGGCTTTTTCTCTGTATTCGGTACTGAGGAACCAAACCCCAGGGCTTCATGCATGCCAGGCAAGCACTCTACCACTGAGCCACTTCCCAGCCCCACATACCTGGCTTTCAAAGACGAACAAGTCAAAGCTGTAGCCGCCGTTATTGGAGAAATAGATGTGAGCCTGAGCTAGCTCATCTCCTTGCATGTAGGCAAAGATGTCGTTGCTTATTTCCTGGGGAGACAGTAGACACACACTTGTCAGCAGTCACGCTGTGGGCCTCCGTGCGGGAAAGGACAGCTTTGTGTCTGCAGGAAAACTGGTGCACGACTGCTTGGGGCAGCCTATTTTCTTTCCTGATCCCTTTCTCCCCCTCTCACGTGTTAAAGATGGGGTCTCGCTCTGAGTGCTGGGCTACCATATGAGGATGTGACCACACCAGCTGTGTCCTTTCTTGTTTCTGGGATGGAACCCAGGACTGGGCACGCACTAAGCACATGCTCTACACAACTGAGCTGCACCTCCAGCCACATCAGAGTTGGACCTCTGCTGTGTTTCTCCCTGGGTCCAGCTTACCCCCTCCTCAAGTTCCTGGTGGTGCTCTGCTTCCAGGGGTCACCAGGCTTACCGCAGACACCTGATCCATGTTGAGTACTTCAACCCTGCTGGGCTCAAGAGGGTCAAGCCTTGACCCTCTGAGTAACCCAGACTAGTGTTTTGTTCACCACCATGCCCAGCAGATCTATGTTTCTTGTAGTGCAAGTGTGGGCACGTGAGGAGTCTTTAACTCCCATTTCTCGTCTGGGGAGCAGGAAGTGTGTCTCTTTTCTATTTCACCCTATTTTAAACCTGGTTACACCAAAATAAATTCTTGCTGAAATATTTTTTTTAAATAGAGGTATACCTCTATCATGGAATATTACTTAGCAGACAAAAAGAACCAACCATGGACACCCAACAAATTGAATTCATCCTTAGGGACGTTTGCTGGGCCAAGCAAATCCCCTAGTTACGCCCGCCACCGCGGTGAGTGAGGCCAGGAGGGAACTGAGGGGCAGCTTGGTGGAGACTGGGGTAGAGTGGCTCTGGCGTCACTTCTGGTGGCTTCAGTGACTTCCCTATCAATCCAAGTCCCAAAATAGGAGATGCAAAATTCTAGAAGTAAACAATTCCTAAATTTTACGTTGCATGCCATTCTGGGCAGTGCACAGAAACCGCCTGGCCTCCCACTCCACCCTCTAGGGTAAGGCCCCTGCAAGTCCAGCGTCCCCCACACAGTGCCACCTGCCCGCACGGTGGACCCTGAGCAGCTGTTGCAAGCAGATCCGCTGCGGCACTACCACAGTGCTCATTGCAAGTAACTCTGCTTTTATCGAATAAACTGAGTCAATGCTGGCAATTTGACCACTAAGTGGGGAGAGGACAGTTGATAGGACAGAGAGACAGACAGAGACAGAGACAGAGAGCTGGACAGAGAGAGATGGACAAAGAGATCAAGAGACCAAGAGACAGAGAACATATCTACAACTTTTACTGCGAAGACTGTAAGTGTTCTTTTTGTTTTTTTTGTCAGTCGTGGGGCTTGAACTCTGGGCCTGAGTGCTGTCCCTCAGCTCAAGGCTCAAGGCTAGTGCTCTACCACCTGAGCTACAGCACCACTTCTGACTGCAAGTGTTCTACTTTATGTTTAGTTGGTGTTGAAAAGTCTTCCTGTGCCTAATGTACAAATAAAGCTTTATCACGTGTGTGTGTGTCTGTGTGTGTGTGTATAGCTAGCACTCTACCACTTGAGCCACATTGCCACTTCTGGCTTTTCTGTGTATGTGATACTGAGGAATCAAACCCAGGGCTCCATGCATGCTAGGCAAGCACTCTACCACTAAGTCACATTCCCAGCTATATATGTATGTTTTAAAACATAGTCACATTTGGGCATGGTGGTACACACCTGTGATCCAACTAGGGAGACTAAGGCAGGAAGATCGAGGGGTCAAGGCCAGCCTGGGCTGCATGATCATGTATGATCATGTCTCTCAAGAAACAGAACAAGCCGGGCGCTGGTGGCTCACGCCTGTAATCCTAGCTACTCAGGAGGCTGAGATCTGAGGATCGTGGTTCAAAGCCAGCCCAGGCAGGAGAGACCGTGAGACTCCTATCTCCAATAACCACCAGAAAAACCGGAAGTTGCGCTGTAGCTCAAGTGGTAGAGCGCTCGCCTTGAGCTGAAGAGCTGAGGGACAGCGCCCAGGCCCAGAGTTCAAGTCCCACGGCCGACCAAAAAAAAACAACAGAACAAAACAACAAAGATGAAGGGTGCTGCTCAGTGGCAGGAAACTTGACTAGTGTCTACAGGACTCTAGGTTCTCTCCCTTATATCCACCCCCAAAATAAAGTAGGACTGTATCTAGAGTTTGGTGGTAAGTGTCCACTGGGAGACTGGGCCGGTGTCCTGCAGAGGAGTGAGCGTATGTTGATGACAATGGGCTATGGGACAAAATGACCCAGGACTAGAAGTGTGTCATATAACATGCATGCATGCCACTTCCTGGTCTTGTCACTAGTTTGGGCATGTAAGGCATGGCCATGGGAGACACCAAGGGAGGACCAAGGGGCTCTGTTATTTTTCTGCAGCATCTACAATGCTGTCAAGGTGAGATGTTCACAAAGCAAGATGGAGTCTAGTGCTGGTGGCTCATGCCTGCCGTTCTGACTGAGATCTAAGGATTGTGGTTTAAAAGCCAGTCTGGGGGCTGGGAAGGTGGCTCAGTGGTAGAGCGCTTGCCTTGTATGCCTGAGGCCCTAGGTTCGATTCCTCAGCACCACATAAAGAAAAAAAGCCGGAAGTGGCGCTGTGGCTCAAGTGCTAGAGAGTTAGCCTTGAGCTGAAGAGCTGAGGGACAGCGCCCAGGCCCAGAGTTCAGGCCCCACGACCGGAC